GAACGTATTCACAGATCTCTCCATCCTTCCTCAACCCTCCTCCTAAAAGAACACACCAAAATTAAATTAATTAAACTTAGTTAACTTAATAAATTGTATTTATTATATTCAATGTTTTACTTTTCTAATTACATACTTAGAAAGCCCAAACTTACTTTTCCTTAACCCTAATTCTTTTTTGCAACCATTAATTGCTTTTTTCAAAACAAAAATCATGAAGTTTGATTTTCGAAAAATGGGGCAGTATATTATATATATATATATAATAAACCAATAATTTACTCACCCACAAAAGATATATAATTTTTTTTTCGAATAATTACAAATATTGTTTCCAATAATTTTGCATGCAGCCAGACATTTTAATTAATTACACACATATGTATATATATAATGGGTTTAATTAATCATTAACTATAATGAACTCAGTTATAAGATATTAGTCAGAGAAAAATTAATTAACTAAGGTTACAATTTCATACGTACCTATGGCGCCAAAACAATCGAACAACTTCTCCAACGCGACGGCAAGATCATGGTAACCTTCATGTAAACCCAAGTCAATCTTCCGAAGAAACGGCGCTCCGTCCATGCTAACTTTCACGTACATTTTGGAGGAATCGGCGCCGGAGTCTTTGCCGTTAAAGCTGTTCTTTTTCCTGTAAGTACACACCGGCGGCCACCCAACCACTTGACTCTTCGTGTTTCTGCTGGGATTTTTCCGGTCATCGGAGATCTCCGAGAACGCCCTTTTCTTCTCGTTCTTGTCCGTGATGCCTCCTCCAGGGAGACCCAGCCTTAGCTCCGTGATCTCCAGTTCTTTCGCCATCTTCAGGTAATAAGCAGCTAGGGTTTCTGCAACAAACAAATTTCCTAAAGCGACTTCCTTTTAAACTTTTCTGGGTGTTTTTTTCTTGTATCTAGTTTTGATAAGTATATGTGATTCAGGGTGTTGGGTAATTGTTAATAGGTAGTTTTCTTATATATATATATATATAAGTATATTATATACTTTTATAATATAGATATAGAGGAAGGGGGAAGACATAGTGGGAGCAGTGACAGGTCAAGTAAAGCAAACGGTCGGTCACATGAGAGGCAAAAGTGGGGGCTTTATGCTCCCTGATTACTCTTACTAAAACCTGGCACTATAAGTTTGATACCGGACAGATCCGACGGCCGATGTTTCTTTATTTCGATTTGGTGAGATTTCATTCTGGCCGTCTGACTTGGTGACTTTGGGGAACATCCCACGTGATCTGCCTCTCCTTCAGGTTTTGAATTGATATGCATAACAGGGTACCATTACTTCTACTATTACCATGCCATGTCCATCATGATCATGCATGTCATATCGTTCATCATATGGTTTCAAGCATGCATGCATGTAATGTGTTACATATAATAATGATTTAATACATTTTATTAGTTAGATACTCTTTTAAAATATATTATATGATTCTTTTTATAGTTTAAGTTACAAATTATTTATAATTATAGTCATGAGTTTGTTCCATAATTCGGATCTGAAAGAGAGAGAGAAAAAAATTATGAAAAAATTCGGCGAGATTGAAGGAGAAAATTTCTTGTGATTTCAATATTTTATTTACTAAAATCAAATTTATTTATAGATTATAATTGCACATATATCCTATAAGCGCGCTTTGGAGATTGCAATAACATGTGAGATTAGTAAATAATACGAGCAAATGTATCTTTCGCTCATCTTTTCTATTTCAATCAATTATCGAAACCCTAACCCTACATTCGAATTTGTTATAATAGAAATGGTGTAGTTACTCTCATAGAAATTTTACCCTTTTATCCGTGTATATTATTTTTCTATCTTCCCTATTATATCCTTAGTTCTTTACAATTATAAATAAAAATCAAATAGTAGAAATTAAGTAGGCCAAGGTCAAATTTTGCAGTGAGTCAACTTATGACAATATGGAAGCCTGGGTCCATCTGACTGAGTCCATAACCGCGTTGAGAATAGCTGTCCAAATTCTAACTGTTAAACGCCAGCAAGTGTGGTGCCTACCTAGTTAATATTTCAACAGATATATAATTTAAAAATATTATATATATATATATATAATACTTTTAAATTATTTTAATTTTTTTCCTTTCCTATTTTTTGTTTTACTTATTTTTACTCAAAAGAGCAAGCAATATACTATAATTTAATTTTTAAATTTTTAATATTTATTATAATTTATTTAAATTACTTTGAT